CTTAGCTGTTTAAGTGGTGTTTAGAGGAGGATGACTCAGCCTCTGTTTGAGGACTTCGCAGACTTCACGCAGATAATTGAGAGGGTGAGGATTTACTCTTTTGGTTTTCCCCCTAATCTAGGGTCTTGCACTTGGCCTTAAAATACTTTTTCTTCACGCTTGCCAAATTTGACGCTCACCTGGGGCATTTAGCAAGCAGACAGAGCCCAGGAGTGGGCATATATTGGTAAACGCAGTAGGTGGGGACGTGACTTTGCAAACTGAAGAAGCTGGGGCAGAGGGCCTGCAATTTGACAAGATTTTATTTAGAGAACACACTTTTCAAAAACAGATTAAGATTATAAATGTGAAGTGCCTTCTCCTTGGGTGGCTGTTTCAGGAAGAACGCACAACACTGAAGGCGAATAGCAGAGTAGTGTTAAAGTGCGCTCACACCATCCTTCCGCATTTGTGGTGCAGGCGTGTGCTCAGCTGCTATTTGGCCTCTAATTTGCTTTTCCCCTGCTACCTTTTTTCCCTCCTTCTGCTTCCTTTTTTCACCTTTGTTTCTGCCCCTAATCATACCTTGCAGTCTCCTTTTCCCCACTTCACTAGTGTTTTGCCTTTCAGCTCTAAGTTATGTGCATCTTCATGGGCATCTTGAAAACTGACATTTCGAAGTAGAATTTGTTAGGTTTAATTTTCAACTCTGTTTTTAATTTTTTTGTTGCACTGCTGTGTGTTAGGATTGCTATGCTGCTGGCTGCTGCGTGAAAGCAGAGAAAAGTTTAAACTAAGGCAGCTCAGATACAGTTGTGGTTACCTGGGTGATTCAGTTCATGATGTTGCTACTTCCAGGTTTCACCAAGTTACCTCATCAGCTTATGGGTAAAAGGGGACCAAAATGGCAAAGTGAATGACAGCATTTTGGAGGATTTCTACTTACTTGGAGCCATTTACGTTAAGATACGTCAGCTGTTAAGGGTGGAAAAGGGAATTGGACAATTTCTTTTAAGTCTCAATGTAAACTTTTTTCAGTTTGATTACTAGAAACTACCTAGATGCTGTTCTAAACAGTGAGATTTAAGTGCCACTTCTGCTCTGTTTGGAGGCTGCTGCTCTGGTTCTGACAAATGATGAAACAGTGGTTTTGGGGGTTATAGTTTTGTTTGCTTTGGTGGTTTTTTTGTAACTGTGATCTTTAAATAGATAGAGATCATTTTATTTTGCTGTGGTTATTTTATTTGTGTTCCAGTTATTGGATATTTTAAAGCAACTGAGTCTTCCATTGTTTAAAACTTGCCAGGCAATACGTCAGCTAAAGAACCAGGCATGTGTTTGGGGGTTTCATTAAATGATTTTAATTATTTTGCTAGTGTAACTGTGCTGATGAAGAGATGTTGTGATTGCACCATCTTGCTCATCTGCAGAGATCTGCTGAAGCAAATTTCAGGTTCTTGGCTTCCTGTGTTTGGAGAAACCTGAAAACTGATAGCAGACCAGAATACCTCAGGTTTGCTTTTCTGCATTATCAGTTTCTGCTGCAGTGCTTGCTGACATCTAATACTAGGAGCTGAAAGACTTGTTCTCTTATTTCAGTTTTCGACACCGATGTGAATATTGTTCATACATGACTGAAATTCCAATGTCACGCTTCCCTTTGCCTGCCTTCTTCAGGGCTGCAAGCCTTCTTAAGCTGGTTTCTAATTTTGCTCAGAGTAGCATGTCTGAATCTCCTGGTGTGTGACTTGACAATCTCCTCCTCAGAATCCAATTTGCTTCTTTTTACATAAGCAATAGGAGTTATTGTTCTCTAGCCTTTCCTCAAGCTCTGTAGTAAGCTGGAGTTTTCACAAGTCCTTATAGCAACAAAAATTTCCCTGAAAGAATTTCTGAGTAAAATAGTCATAATACTCAAAAGGGTTATTTTTACTTTCTTGATGGTTTGGGCACAGGATTTTCTGAAAAACATTTTTTACTTGCTTTTGGTGAGGATCGATTCAAATGCTTCCATTTGTAGGTCTTAACCATTCAAGGGTGAGTGACACCATGCCAGAACTATCTGAGACAGTGTGGTAAAGCTGCTGTTTCGGATCACCAAGATGCTTAATTTCACCATGAGAAAGGAGAAAGGTCCAGTCTTCTAATACCCAATTCTCAGTTCTTCCTGAAGCTCCTTGTCATTCTGGATTCTTATCTGGATTTGAGATACCTACACTTATCTTAAAACTGTGTGCCAACACTACAGGGTGTAGGAATGGATACTCCTTTTCCTTCTGAATGTAGGTGGATGCTCCGAGTGGTCAAAATCCCAACCTTTATGGCAGGCATAATTAGCAGTCTATTCTGTGTGGGGATAACCTGCCTGCACCATACCCCCCTAGGCAGGAAACACAACATTTTCAGTGTTGCAAGTTTCCTTAAAATTTTCCTGTGCCCCTAAATTTCACTCAAGGGAGATGCACGGTTGATGAACAAGGGGAATCTAGTGGGGGAGGCTGGGGAGCCAGGACTTCAGGGTGCACTATGTGTGGAGTACAGTGTCTTTGTGGGGTATGTGTTTTGTGTGCCCAGGGTTTGGGGTGTACCACAGAGCAGCACTCAAAATGCCCTGCAGATCCAGAATTTCTAATGTGGATTGTGGAGAAAACCTAAGAACTGCTTATGGATAGTTCCTGTTGAGGAGATTGCTACCAGGATTCTTTAGTAGAAAAGCTTGAATAGTGTGGCTATCAACGAGAAGGGGTTTTTTTCCCTGAGAAGTGTGTTTGTGCGACCTTACTGGCTGGTTGGATTTGTCATTTGGTAGTTTCTGGTTTAACTCGAGATTTTGACCTTCTAGACATACCAAAATAAAAAAAAAATGCATGCAGTAATACTTGCTGACTTGGAAGTTCAAAGTACTTTTTGGGCCGGCATGGTTAACTAGGGCTTCAACACAGCTCGTACAGAGTATTTTTCTAAGGATTTCCTTGCAGAGGAAGAATTGAAAGGAAATTACTTCAGACTAATGTATTTTATAATGGAGAGAAGTTAATGGCTTAGTGTTAGTTTTTCCTTTTTCCAAGTCCATAAAAATCTCCCCGTCCATTTTTCAATCTGCTTTCTCCTGGCAGAAAGCGTCATAATTCAAAATACAAGTCATTGACTTGGAAGATTATCAAGTTGGAATGGAATTCCTCTTGACTTCCTGCTAATCAAGTAATCATTGATTATTTGAATGTGCCTTTTATCTTAAGCTTCAAGTGGGTAAATCAGCTAAGAAAACTAAGAAAACTGAAGCTGGAAAGTCTTTGAAATAGGAATCACTCAACAGAAGAATTACATGGTTAATAAATCTGAAAGATGCTTCTCTAAGTATAGCAAAGATAGAGCCCCTAGAGGTGTCTCTTCTATCACCTGTGAACATAAGTAGTTCAATATTTCTTATTCAAATTGTGTATCGTGTAGGTTATTGGCAGAATTTCATCAGTGGCAGTATCAGAACTTAAGAAATCAGGTTGTAATAATGCGTAATGAAGAGTCAGTCATGTCAGGCACTCCAAATTCAGTGACCAATGATTTGGACAGAGCTTTCATTTGCGTTTAGTAACCATATAATGCATCTTTTTCCCTCTCCTCAAAGCCTCGGCTTTATGGCAATTGTCCTTAGGACCTCCTTAAAGGCTTCATTTTACCCAAATGAAAGGTCCTAGAGCAGATAACCTCAGTATTCAGGCTTTTTGCATCTATTCCCATCTGACTGCACAGAAAAATCTCTATAATCTTCCTAGGGTTTATCGTGTTATCATTTGTACAGGCCCTGTGGGGCTGGTAACTCTTAGGCTTTTTTCCATATTAATTGTTTAGAGCTTTTAATAATTGTTGCTTTCCTAACGCTTTGTCCTAAGGAGCCTGGTTTACTCTAATCCATAAACTGGTAGCAGTTCAGTCCAACAGTAAAAAATCACCTCATATGCAGAACCATAAAACCTCTATTTTTTGCAACAAGTTTAAGGAATTAGAAAATTATGTCATTCAAGATTTCTTTTTGTATAAAGTATGTTTAAGAACCCAGAAATATATAGGACCTCCCCCAGTATTTTTTTCAGCACTGAAAGAAAAGTGGTGGTGGTCCCTCTAGTCTTGAACAGCCAAGGGACAGTAATTGTTCCAGAAGATAAATCTTTTTCTACGGTCCTTACAGTACTTTGCCTTCATAAGAGCTTAAAAGATACTTCTAACCTCTCTAAAGAGATGGTTACAAATGGCTTCATATGGAGAATAATATAATGCTAAAATTTGTGGTAATGGCTGAAAATCCAGTAATTAAGTTACTTTTAAAAGCTGGATGCAATTGGAGTTTTCTCGTTGCTTTTGATGACATATTTTAATAGTATACAGGTTCTAGTGTAGATTTCCCTTTTTATTTTGAAGTCAGTTTCTTTATAGGCACATAGACTGAGCTGCCTCAAGATAAGTAATGTGTTGTTTCGTAGACTGTTCTGTCAACAGCTTATACTGCTGTAGAGGAAAGGACAGATTACAAACTTGGACGAGGTGCCGGTGTCTCTCTCTAGGGATGCATTCTACCTTAAGTTACTCCAGGAGTGGCTTTGGTGGACTTGGCAGAGTTAGGTTAACAGTTGGACTCGATGATCTTAAAGGTCTTTTCCAACCTAAATGATTCTGCGATTCTGTTAAAATGCTGAGAGCCGTAACTGAAAGATACTCTATTACACTTAATTGTTATTAATTTATCTGTGAAATAGCAATGTCATCAATCAGTGTTTCTTACTGCTTACAGAACTAGAAATACTTAAATATTTGATACCATGATACAGTCATTTGGTTATTGCCCGATTTTCAATTCTTGGGAAATTTGTCAGAAATTTCCTCCTCCTGCTCTTGTCATCACTTCCTTTCTAATAAGTGTATCAATTCTGAGACCTCTCCTTCTGAATGTTCAATTCATATCCCTTTTCCAAAAGCCTATGTTCCCTGGATTTGCTTTTGCAAAATGAAGGAGTTTTGTCTTTCAGAGCGGGAAGGTCACAGGAAGTGATTCAGGAGGTGTCATTGATCTTACACTGGATGAAGAGGATGATGGCTCTTCTCAAGGTAGGTGAAAAAGCTCTTGCTAGCTGTAGGGGTAATTGAGCTACAAGTATTATTTCATCCCTTGAATGACAGAATAAACTTCTTTTCCTGCTTACTATGTTTTATTTCTCAGTGTTTCAGCAAAACAGGACTGTTGGAGAATGCTGATATAGGCGTTAAATGAAAAGAATTCTACTTACTGTAAAAGTCTTTAAGGTTTTTACCATTTCCTTAATCTAAGCATTGTTGCTGTCTGTGCTCAAATCTGTTAGGCTTGGGGAATAATTTGACATGTTTGAATTCTTTACTATGTTTCAGAAAGTTCTTCTTAGATGTATTTAATTCTTCTGTTTACTGGTTAATGAAAGACCTTTTAATTCTACAATTGTTCTTCAGGCATTAGATTATTACAGCTTCTACTCTTTTGTTTAACTAAAAAAATATGAATACTAAATGCAGATCTGTTCTTTACTTTGGCACTATATGCCAAGATTAGAATAGATATAATTGTGCTCTTATATCCTTTGGCAGTTTCGATGCACTTCAGCTTTTAAAAGAATACATTTTTCTTTAGGCTTTGCATAACTGTGGGCAAGTCTAATTATAATTAGTGTTGGATTAGCAAAGAGTTTTAGTGTTTCAGAGAAGTAATAAGAATCTATACTTAAGACCATGTATTGCACTGTCAACTTAACTGAAAACAATAATATTTCTGCTATTAGAGATAAAATTTTAGTTCTGCGTGGTCTCTAAATGCATTTTGAAGTCTACCCACCAAAAAGTTTGATTCTTTTGGATGACCTCAGTAGCAATCTCTCTAGCTAGCACGTTCAAGTTCTGTGCATGCATTCCTAATAGCTTACTCTGTGTTAGGGTTACACAAATACGGAAAATTATATTGGCATGTGGTAGCGTTTCCTTCAGTGAGGAAGAGATGTGATGTTGCCACCAAAAGGGGCCTGCATGTGGAATACAAGTATTAGAGAAGCGTGATGCAATTCAGATAACTGATAGTCAGGTTCTTCTATCAGTAGAGGATATATGGTGGACACGAAATTAAGCCTGAGGCAACAGTGTGTTCTCATTTAAATTTAAATTACTATTCCATCCACATTTTCACTAGTGGGACCACACCTGAAATGAGGTGTCCAGTTTTGGCTCCTCCTTCCCTGAGTTCAGAAGAGTTGTAGCACTGGAGAGGGTCCAGTAGATGGTGTCAGGATGGTGGGGGCCTAGAGTATGTGACCTGTGACAGACCATGGCATATTTGGCAAAGAGCACAGAGAGTCAGTGTAATGGCAGCCTGCAACCAACTACTCGGAGAGTAGTTACAAAGGTGATGGAGCACAATTCTTCTTGTCAGTGCGAGATGATCTTTCAGGGCCATGGCTGTGACCTACAAGTTTAGGAGGTTCAGGTAGAGCTGGAGGGAAAAGAAAACACAGTAGGAAGGTAGTGCAGCACAGAGGAATGGTAGAAACTCCACGCTTAAATGTTCTTCAGATTCACCTGGGCAAAACCACAGTTCATTTGAATTGGTGTTGGTGATGATCCAGCTTCAAGAAAAGGCTGGACTACATGGCCACTGGAGGATTTTGATGACTCTGTGAATTACTTAGCTGAGTGCCAGAATAGCCTACGGAATCAAGTTTTTGTCACTGTTGTCTCTTCTGAGGGCTGGACTCTGGAGGCACCAACAGGTCTAAAATGGATTTGTGGCATGTTTTAAAGTAGCGTATCACAATGTTGTAATGTATTTCAGATAATCTTCTAGCAAAATTAACACTTTACACAATTTTTTTTTCCTCCCTGACTGCATGGAATATGTCTTCACCTCACAGTTACCACAAAAGATGGACACCGTAGTTGCACGTGCAACTATAAGAATGCTTCTCCAAGTAGAAGTGCTAGCAGCCGCGGCACTGTCGGCACATTGTAGTACGGGAGCTTAATTCTTTCTGAGTTTCTTTCTGGAGGCTTGTGCCAGTATCATTCAATATGCTCCTGTGGGATAGTCTGAGATTCTTTCCCATTAGTTGTCAGATTTTAGAAAATCCTCCTTTAATCATTAGGAGCAAGGCAGGCAGACTTTCAGGCTGGGTTGGCTCCTGTGTGTCTCTTCATTGCAGAGCAGAACCCAGACTCTCACTGACAGAGTCTGCAGCCTTGCAGATGAGTTATGTTTAGAGTTTCTGTGAGGAGGCAGTATTTTTCATACAAGCTGTAAAAATAATAAGGTCTAAATAAAAGCTTGAGTTTCACTGTGTAGGAAAAGCACATTTCTGGGATTTTGAGCAAGTTTCTTAGGAAATAATTCACATGTTCTGATAATATTCAGGTTTAAAAGAGGGAGACTTCACTTTGGACAGCTTTTGCGTAATCATATGCATGTATATACCTTTGACCAAATATTTTTTCCACTGCACTTTGTTTACAGCAAACATGGAGCCGGTATTTTGTTGTAGATTTCTTGGTACACAGCCTCAGGATAGAAAGTACCTGCAGCATTATGGTGTTTACTGCAGTGTGCTAGGGTATCAGTTCAGTACTATTTCAAATAGAGAAGAGCAACGCTTACATGGTCTTCTTGGGAACGCTCAGATCCTGATAATTTTGTTTAAAGCACTTCACTTGAATACTAAGTAAACCTAATTCTGTTACTTGTAAAAGGTATTTAAATAGGTATTAATGTTTGGAGAGAGATGTCTATTATGTGCTTCTCTTTAAATCTCTCCTGGTACAAAGTTACACTATTTTGGTAGTAGGTAACTACCATGTGTGACCTTGTTGGTTGAAATTATAAAAGATTTGGGTTGAGAGTAAATTTTCACTTTGTGATAGGTTTTTAAACTTGTTCATATAATCTGATCTCCATCCCTTCCTTTTTCCAGTGAAGTTTCCATTTGGATCAGTAACATCTGTAATACTCTATACCAAAGTGTGCATACAGGATAAACTAGGCTTAACCTTGAGGTTAAGAACTGCAGAATTTTTAGGTGTTTTGTTGTGTGAGGTTATTAAACTGAAATTATCGTTTCAGTATTGGGTCATGGAAGAGCAGACCAAGCTCATTAAGCTCAGTTTTTAGTTATGGTAAACAAAACCCTGTGCATTATTTTTAAGGGCTAATTATATTTTGAGAGTGGGGGATTTTTGATTGGGTTTAAGGATGCTTTTTTGGGAGACGTGGTGTTATTTAGTGTCATAGTGATTGGGACCTCTAGTCACGTGCCTGAGCCACTGGGCTTGGACACGATGCTGCTGGAGAGCAGGGGAGGTGTCCCTCAACAACTCTTGATTTTACATTTTGAAACCCCACTCTATTAAAACAAAACCACGTCTTAACCGCCAGCACCTTTTTTAGATACAGACAAATTGTTGTCACTGTTTTTTCAAAGAGTAATCTGATACATTTCTGTCTGCAAGTATCTTGCAGTACTTTTGTGGTCCCCTTGCTATACTTTTTATTAAATATCTGTGTAGCACACTGCACCGAATTACTATTTAAAATATTAAAACAACTAATAGATTTAGCTGATACCTATCCTAAACTAAAGTGGATTTGTAATCTAAGATACACACGTGTACTCTCAAAAACAGCCATGTTCCACTTTTTTTTTTTGCATTTATCTTTTTGTAGGAGAAATTAACAAATACATACAATATTAGTTTTTTATAAGCCTTTTTATCTAATTAACAAATCTAGCTTTCTGGATAGTTTTTTGTCTTATTCTACCACCTGCGTATGGTATGTTTGCTGTTATGTAATCCCATTATACTACTTCTGAATGAGTACGCTGATTAAAACTCCTCCACTGCTGTAACTGCAGTGTTGTAGGCCCATTTTCTGGCATGGAAATTATCCCCTATTTTTTCCCTTTTATGTATTAGATGTGGTGTTTTGCTTACACCTCCAGTAGTAACGATTTCCATTTTATGCTCATTTCCATAAATCAGATCATCCTGCCTCCTCCAGGTCCACATTTCTAAGGAATAGGATGCTGTGTTCCTTTCGCATTGGAACTGTTCCTGTATTACTTTTGCCCTTAGTCCTGTGCTTACTGTGCACCCAGTCTGCCTGTTTCCATGGCTGATTTTTCACTTACATAGCAAAACTAGCCTTTGGTATTTTTTTCCACTTATTTAGTAAATTCTAGTTGGTTATTTTCCATTATTTCCTGTGGCTGGTGCAATCCTGACATAGTTTTCAGCAACTGGAATCTCAGCAGGACTCTTAATTTGTCAGGGACAAACTAACTTGTTTCTTTGCGAGATTAAAAAACCAAAAGCAAACCCGGAGAAGCCCTCACATGTGTCCAGGCTGTCATTTGTACTCAAACTACAGTTTTAGGGCAATCATGTGTCTGGGTTTTTACTAGCTGGATAATGAGCATGTTTTCTCTAGGTCATGGCTTACTGTGCACTTGCATCCCTTATCCAGCAACGGTCGAAATGTGCATCAGTGTGTAAATACTCAAAGTAAACAGGTGTATGCACCTCTGTAGGAATCTGTTCAGAGTCAAGTCATTTGTTGAACACTGGGAAATCTCTTCCAGCTCATGGAGAATAGAAGAAGCTTGAACTGATCACGAGATCTGTTAGTTGATGAAAGAGCAGGAAACGTCTCACCTTTTCTTTTCAAAATGAGCATGCCTTTACTGCTCCTTTTACACACTTTGAAAAAAGTAGGAAAATGGTATTTTCATCAAAAGACTTCAGTAGAGTGGACAGAAAGGCAATATGGTCTGCAATTTGTTTTTCTTTTAGTTTTGAGGTCTTTGATTATATTTGTAATATAGGAGTTTGTGAAGGGTACCACTACTTCTATAACGGTGTTAAAAACAGCTCAGTGAGACCATCAGAATAGTCTCAACTGCTAAAAAACATTTTGAGCTACACTGTCATTATCCCTGTTTTTAATGCTTTGAAACCTAGTTATCATACTTCATGGATAGTTTCTAAATGTGTTCTTCAGCATATTGTTACCATATTAATATTTCTCAAGAGTAAAACACACATTAACATGCTTTTATTCTTATATTATGCACTCTCTTACTAAATTAGTGGCTGCTGTATGTACAATTTATTATGGCAAATCTGTTTTGAATGAGCGCCCTTAAAACATACTCTTTTATCTTGCGATTTTTAGGTTTTTGTGGTTCCTACTCTGCCCACTACTATAATCTAGCTGAAATATCCAGGCAAAAACTTCTCAATTCTTTATTCAACTTGTGCACAGTCTTGATTACATACAGACTTGCACTCAAATACTTTATATTGTCACAAACAAACTGAAGTAGGAAAAGTACTGACGTAGTAAGCTGCAGATAAAGACACTATTTGTCACTTCTCACAAGTCAGTGAGTCATGTTGAGGAGGGTGTCAATGAGAGAAAACAACTTGTTCTCTTTTTCAAGATTTCTGAAAAAAAATAAAGCTATTCCCCCTTTTTAAGAAAATAGCGTGAAAACTCAAAGCAGCGACAGGGCTGACTAATGGATTGAACAAAGGAAAGAGCAAACAACAAAAGGATGGAAGCATCAAAGGTAGACAAGATTTGTTTAGGGAGATTTATCACTTGAAACAAATTGAGTACAGCAGTGTTTAGGCCTTTTTAAGGTTTTAGGCTGTTCTTTTCTAATGGAAACTTTTAAAGACTTTGGCATAGTGTTCCACTAAATTCAGGTTTCCAGGTTGTGCTGAAATACACAGACTTCATGATGATACAGTGAAACATTTTGGAGTATGGGGGGAAAAAGCTTGAGGTGATGAAAGTGAGGATAATTGAATGAATTTTCTACAGTTTTGTTTGCAGCATGAAAAGATCAAAGAAATACCAGGCTAGGAAATATTCTTTGCTAATCTGTGAGTGATGGGTGAAAAATATTTTCAGACTCTTCTGATGCTCTAATTTCTGTTTGTTGTTGTCTAAAACTTTGTTTCCTTTTATAGCAGATGTGAAGAAGCAGAACCAGACACCCGTCGCGGGACCAAGCGCACCCACCCAGCCCACGGCTCGACCTTTGCAGCCTTTGCAGCCTTTGCAGCCAAACCCTGTGCCGCAGGCAGGTGTGCCAACGAGTGGACCTTCCCAAACCACCATCCATGTATTGCCTGCAGGTAACTTCATTTTCCATCATTGTATGAATGCAGCGACTGCTTTTTTTCTTAAACTAGTCTTGTGTGTCCTGTGTCGTGCTGATCTTCTCAGGTGAACGCCGAGAATTTTTGAGTCACTTGTAACATCTTCTGTTCCAGTCAGTTTCCCAGAATCTTTTTTTTCTTTTAAAAAAACAAAAGGCTGATTAAGTGAAAGGGGAAAATAGTCCTGTTGGTTTGGAAAGAATTCAGGGTCAAATTATTTCAATGGAAAGGAAGAAATCCTGCAAAGGGTGGTCATGGAAATTATTAAATATACTGTTGTTGGTAAAAGTGAAGGAGAAGAAACAGCCTGTAGCAGCTGCATCATTTAACTAGTTGGGAAAAAAACATTAGCAACATCACTCCTAGCTCTGTCCACTTGCACCTTTTGGCAATTAATCCTTTTGGCAGAGGAGATGGCAAGGCTGACATTGAAGTTCTGTCTCTAGTTAAATGTTGTTTTGTCTGCAGTGTGATACTTTTTTTCCTTTCTAATGTGAAGAAACAAAAATCCTCTTTTTTTTTCTTCTTTATTTTACTCCTTTCTTCTGTAAAAGACAGTTGAAGATTAGTTGGCATTGGAATTGTTGAATTGTCTTACGATTAGTCTGTTTTACAGACTCTTTGGTGACGGGTTTTATATTTTCAAAGTTGTGCTTACATTCAGGACCTTTTTTTTTTCTTTTTTATCTTGGTGTTGGGTGTTACATTTATCTTTTCTATTTAGAATTTGTATATGTGTTGGCATTCTTATTTCAGGTGAAAATTGCTGTATTGTTTAGACTGGTTTTTGTGGGGTTTTTGTTTGTTTGATTGATTTTTCATTATCAAAAGCAGATTGAATTTCACAGAGACAGGTGTTTGGGGTTTTTTTCATGGTTCAGACGAATCAACTTTCCAAAGGGGGAGGGTTGGGCTCTGAAACAGGCGCATCTGCTTAAAATCATGGAATTCCATTCTTAGGTTGTGGTCTGTCTGTCTTTTTTCCAGCTCCAACAACAGTGAATGTAACTCATCGGCCAGTGACTCAAACTGCTGCAAAACTTCCTATACCAAGAACCCCTGCGAACCACCAGGTGGTCTACACCACCCTTCCTGCGCCGGCAGCTCCGAGTCCCGTCAGAGGAGCTGTCATGCCAAGCCCGGGGTTAAGACCGGTCACCCCACAGGCTGGAGGTAGGTGACATTTTTAATTCCAAGCACACTTTAGCACGACACAGCTTGGTATGTTCTACCTGATGGGTGTGGGGTTTGGTTTTTTGTTCGGGGTTTGTTGTGTGGTTTGGTTTGTTGGGTGTTGTTTGTTTGTGGGGTTTTTTTTACAATACTAGTCCAAATGACAGAGGTTGGAGGTTTTTTCCCAGCTTATAGGCTTTAGAAAAATCTCAGGCTGTTAATTTACTCCCCCTGCAGCTGTGTAAATGAGGGAAAGCTGGATTTAGGTCGTGTCGGGCACTAGCTCTGCCAGTTCAGGCATCTCTGTGTGACATGCCCAATACTTTGGCAAGGTAATGGAAGGTAATGTCATAAGCATCACTATTTTCTAGAAAGATAGTTAAAGACCATTTTGTTATTATGGAGTAAGATTAAAACAGATTAAAACATATAAGATTTCCTGTCTAAAGTTATATCAGGCATCCTAATGTAATTCTTTATTAATCTCTGCTGTCCTATACCCAGAAAATTCTCCTATTTTCTCACCACATGTGTCAGAAATCTGTGCATGCTGGAGTTTTCCTTGACTGGAGATATCAGCAGGTTCATCTTGACTTTGCAAATGTGTAACTGGTATCTTCCTACAGCATTAAACTCATTTTCTGAAATGAGTAGTAGGTGTTAAAAACAAAGACCATAAAGTTAAATGATAGTTTATATTTTGTTACCAAGGGGTGGGTCTTAACTGCCTTTTTGTAGCTCCCCACAATTTCTACACTATGGTTATTGTAAAACTATTGTTAAACATAAAATCCTCTGTTCTTGTGCCCTGAGTATGAGCCTACTTTTGTGAGGTTCAGGTAGTGATTTTTTTTTTTTTTTTTTAAATGCCATCTGTATAGGCCAGACTCAGAGCACAGCATCTGTGAGCCATGTAAAACTGTACCCATGTAGATTTGTGCAAAAATAATTATTTTATTGCTCTGAAATGGAAAGTTTTTGTAAAGGACAATATCCACTTATGTTTGTAGCAGCTTAATTGTGAGGATCTCTTACAACTGCATTCAGCGGTGAATAATCAGCTGTGTTAGCTAGACAGAAGTTGACCAGACAGTTCTTGAGCTACCTCTAGGAAATTGCTGGTCTTTTCAGAATACTTGTTCATATTTCTTAAACCTCTTACACTCTTGTGCTATGGGCATTTAAGTTTGGGTTCTTATGACCAGCAGTCTCTTTTGAGGGACCTGCCTGCATCACGTGTTCCTATTGGCAAAAGGTTGTAAAAGGCCAGGTAGCCTCAGCCCACACGTAATTTTCTTCATCGTTACCCTTAACTGTGAGATAATGTGATCTACCTGTTGCTTTGGAAGGAGTTTTGAGTACTTAGATTCATTTATGTTGCTTATTTTTTATAGTATTTTCTTATTTTGTACCAAAATACATGTTTTTGTCAGAATCTACCACTTGGTAGAGTGGTTATGGCAACTAAATGCACATCACTATGTCTGCAGAATACCTTTTAGTGTTAGATATGCAACATAATGAGTTGGTGAAGAATATAATACACTATTTTAAGGCCTTTTCTAGGAGAACTCAATGAGGTAAGGAATTCATAGTTTTGGGGCAAGGTCATTCAACAGATCTTTGTGTAATGTGCTTCTGCCTGATGGTCCAGTGATAGGCAACTGAAGGATAAGCTTTTATTTCTACTTAGAAATTCTCAGAAATCAAGGCAGGTTTCCACCAAAGTAGTGACGATTCAGTTTGACCAGACCTTGAGTAACCTCATCTAAGAGCATTAGGAAGAAGTTCTTCACCGTGAGGGTAGTGA